GTGTAAATGCACATACGCACAAACACATATATGTATATGCATGTGTGTGTATTTACACACACACGTATACACACACATACACATACATATGTGTATATGTATGTGTGCGTGTAGTTACACACACACATATTTGTAAAGTATGTGTGTATTTACACACACATATGTGTATATGTGTGTGTGTGTGTTTGCTTTGAGCGCGAGTGTATATGTTTTCTTGCATGAATGCAAGCGTTTTATATTAGCCGTGGCTATTCCTAAGCCGCGGCTTGCAAAAGTGCAAGTGCAGTTTCTAATTCAGGAGTCACTACGATAAAGACACACAAACATATTTACACTCAAGTTAGCTGGAGACCCCGCAGAGATTCATTCTCACGCAAATACAGAAAATACGACCTTATTCACCCTCGGACGTTAACCCTAGCAACACAGATATGAAAACCAGCCAATCGTAAAATAAAAATAAGGGAAAGCAGAGCAGCAGACAAACAAACACATTTTTACTCCACGCACTGTTTGGGTACGTTTTCGGTGTCTCGTGTTCTTGCCTCGCTCTTTTTCGCAATATTTTATTTATATCTTTGTGGGAACGAATAACCGGCTATTCACTGCATCGGCTGTGAATATTCGGATCATTTGACTCCAGTAGTAAAGAACATTTGAGAAGTGTAGTAAATGTAGAAGTGTGTAGATTTATTCCAAATCAATAGGCTTTGCTGGTGAGGTTCATTTGCTTGTTTCTCTCCTCTTCCTCCTCTCTCTTATTAGCTTCCAAAGTTGTTAAAGCTGATGTTCTGAGTTATAAAGGCTAGTAGAAAATAAAAACCCATCGCTATTTCTCTCGAGGTCTTTGATTTTTTTCTCGTTCGTATTGACAGGAGGATAAATTCACCCAGAATAAAATAATAGATATACGCAGCATTTAAAAGACTTCGCTTGGAGTAAGAGTAAGCGTGTTGACGTTACAAATACGCATAAATCTTTATTTCGTCGAATTATTGCGACTTTTTAGTCTTCGCATATTGTTTTTATGAGGTTTACACTAGATGAGACAAGGGTAAAAATAAAAATTGTAATTTCTTTTCGTAGAATAGGTCATTGACATGAATTCCAGGACAATCGACAAAATATGAAAATAGAACGAAATTATCTGAACTTTCTTGGCATCAGTGAACACGCTTTGTAAATTATGGTATGGATATTCAATTTGCAAGAAGCTTATGTTGCTAAGCAAGTATTGCAAGTGATAAATGGGCTCATATTCAATAAACAGGTTGAGGTTTAGGCAAATCAGCGAAATTATAAGAGGCCAAATATTCCTTTAAAAAGTCCACTACCACGACATCTTAGCTAGAGCGTTCCGACGCGCGCCAATTTCCCCGACGGAAACCTAACCGGAAAAAACACTCAAGACACTAAGACAAAAATCCCATTCCATTCCTAAAACACATAAATCCCTCTTTTCATCCCTGAAAACCCTTTAAAACAAGTCGAAAGACCGAAAATCCCACATAAAGAAGAGCTGAGCGAAAGTCATTGGCGCGGGCGGTCGGCGTCCGTGCGAGGCGCCCCGTGCGATTCATCCTTCTCGCTCAGACTCCGCTGGGAAAGACAACAGGAGCTCACGCATTCCAGCAAAGGTGAGTGGCGCTTTTCTCGTAATTTAGGGACTTCTGGGACATTTACGCGAACGGACCGGAGGCAGAATGGAGTAGGACGTTCAGATCTCCCTACCCGTGGGATTTTCATAAGCAGAGGACATTGCTTTCTAGAGATACAAGGAGAAAAATAGAGTTCGCGTTCCCGCCGCCTCCACGCCGAGCGGCATCCTCGTCCTGCGTCCTCGGAACCCCAGTAACGTGGCCCTTGAATCCCCCTTTCCCTCCTCGCGCTCCTCATTTCTCCCTTCTAAACCCACGAATAACCACCATCACCTCCGAAAGAAACGAAAAACCGGCCCAAATCGCCTCGGAAGCGGAGAGAAACGCGAGGAAACAAAAGCGCGAGAGGAAGCGAATCGATATCGGTCGGCGTCACATGCCGGTACCTCCGACGAAGCGCCTTTGTTCCCGCGCTTCCCCTTTTTTTATCTCCCGCGTCGCCTATCTCTCCTTTTCGTTCGAGTGCGGGAAGAGAGAAAACTGAGTCGTATCAATACTCATTCCTTAACACGTAAAACGGAAGAGGAATCAACGTAAGGGAGGGAGTATAAAACCGCTTGACAAGAAAGGAAAAGAGGAAAGAGGAAAAGGAAGAAGGAAATATTTTTGTGTATACTCTTACCTACCTAACACCACCTCCCTCTTGTTCCTCATCCCCTCCCCACTTCCCCCTCTTTATTTTCCTCTCTCCTTCCCTCCTTCCTTCTTTCCCCCTCTTTATTTTCCTCCTCCTCCTTCCCTCTTTCCCCCTCCCCCTCCCCTCCCTCCCCCCTCCCCCCTCACGTTCAGGGACGAGGGGACGCTGATCTCTTCCTCTCTCGTCATTAACTCCTGCTCGACCCCCCTTCCTCCTCCTCTCCTCCAGTTCGTGCCGTGTGTTGTGTGGCGGCGGCGGGGTGGTGGAGCGACGTCGAAAAAATTTTCCCAAACACGAGCGGTAATTATAGTCTTGTTGTTGTTGTTTTCTTTGTTTTGTTTTGTTTTGTTGTGTGTTATTTGTGTTATTTTGGGGAGGTTTGGGTCTGTGGTGAGGTTTATGTAGTCTGTTGGTTTTGTTTTTTTTGTTTTGTTTGCGTGTTATTTTGAGGGAGGTTTGGGTCTGTGGTGAGGTTTTAATGTTCTAGGAAGAGGTTTTTGTTGTTTTATATGTGAGAGGGAAGAGCATTTTTTTGTTTTTTGTGTTTTGAGGGAAATTTGGGTTTGTTTTATTAATCCTAGGATAAGGTTTTCAATTTGGATGTTATTTTTTTATGAGCAGTAATAGTATATGTTTGTTAGTTGTTATTTTATGGAAATTTGGGTTTTGTTGATATTTATTATTTAAGAAGATATTTTGCCAATTTTGATGTTTGTCACTGTTTAGGGGTTTCATGGTTTTTTCGTCAAATGTACGAAAGTATTGGAGAAAAAACGTGGGAGTGTGTTAAAAATTAGGAAGAGTGGAATATTTATTGAGCAAGGGAAGGCATGTGTTTACATAATGAGTACTTTTGCAAGAGCTAATGGTGTGATTATAATTTCAAATGTCAGAAATACTAGGTAGAATGATTTGTGGAAATGGCATTTTGGTAAATTGTAAGGTCTTTTGCAGCTCAAAAATGGACAAACAACCTGGTATATGTTCAAGATAGGACTAAAGCTATAGAAAGACCTAAAGGTATTACCATGAATATGTAAAACTAGTGATGACAGTGAAGAGGGCAAATTAAGCGTGAGGTATTAAAATTGAAATAAGACGGGCAGGCTTGAGTGTTTGTTACTGTTCTTACAAGGCTGAAGCCAAGAGAAGTAACCTTATTCTCGAGCAAGGCTTATCATCATCCAAATGTGTATGTTGTCGAAGTAGTAGGGGCTGGATGACCTACCTAGTTAAATATTGTCAAACGAGGACCCAGTTAAGCCAAGCTTTGTATATATATATTTATATATTTGTATGAGGATTTGTTTTCTGCCATATTAAGGCCTTATAGCCACTTTTAAAGATAGAAGGGTGGTCCTATTTTAAAGTTTGGTTTGTAGGGCCTTCCTCATGAGGCATTTTGCACTGAGTTGCTGTCAAGGTTTTCCTGTAAGTGTTCTTATTTTTTAGTTTTGGTTTTAATTTAGGTAGTTGTTACCAAGAGCAACGTACCCTGCAGTTCCAAAACCAGGGTATGGTGCAAACTCAAAAACCTATCCTAATCTTACCTACCTTCTATTTATGCTACCTGTTTTATTTGATACTCTATTTCGAACACCATTTCACTCTATATCTCCACACATCACTCTCGGTAACTTAATTTGAATGCCTTTTCTGGGATATATATTATATTGCAGTGTGCAATATAAAAATGTTCTGCTAATATAGTAATGGCTCTATTAAATGTAGTAAGAACAAGCATGTATATGTATAAAAGTATCTCATGGCATAGCACCAGGTCCTTACCAATATTGGAGAATTGGAAGCACTGGTTGTTGGAGCAGTAAAATTTGCTGTTAAGCTTAAATGAGCTCTGTATGCAATAAAAATTAGAGAATTGTTATTGATAAATATATTACAGATGAAAATCTTGTGGCACTAAGATTTAAGTGTGGAAGTTCATGTAACCTCAAGGTGGGTATTAGTTACAGAGAGCAACGTGCTTTTCAGAGACTGTCCCAAGCCCAGGGTATCGTGCAAACCCCAAAAACAACCTAACCTTTAACAACTATTTATTCCTTTGGCAATTCCACCCCCTGTACCCCACCTTAATTAGTGCTTCATTATAATATATAGAAAACAGACATTAAGAACTCTAGCTATGTGAGAATGGACTTAGTCTCAGAGTGGTGATATGCAGCAGATATTTTCGTTATTTCATGGTAAATATGAAGACACAGCTTCATATTTGTTGTTTCTGACTGTATTTCTAATGCTCTTTAAGATGGCAGTTTCCATTTCCTTGTGTGTCACCATTGGCAACATAAACCCTCAAAAGGAAGCAAGAACAAGTTAACTCCTGTTGAAGGCCAGGGCAATGGTGATAAATTGACATCTCAGTTTATTACTTTTTACACATTATTGAAAAATATGTGCAGAAATACTACGGAATTTAAACAGTTCCATTTTCTTTTTACTTGTACTATATGTATGTTGGGCACCAGAATTTAAAACCAGTTTTGTTACTCTGCTGTAGAGCATTTGTACTGTCAGCATTTCTTAATCCATTGACTTGGGGTTAAATATTTGGCTTGTGGGCCATTGACATGGGATAACTGATGCATATTGATAATTTCCCCCATGATGTTTACCTTCACTTTTAGTGCTGTTGCCTAAAAGTTTCACTATACAAATGATGATGCATGGGAGAAAAACTCCGCCTGATGAGCCGACGGTGTAGATATGGCCATGATGTGATGCCACCTGCTGCTTAGTCCACAAAAGTCATGACATGTACATACATTCCACCTGACAGGAAGGCTTTAACCTTGTAAGAGCAGCTTTGTTTAGCTTAATGTTAAACAATAGTGCTGGCTCTTATGCCAAAGGTCTTTGCAGCCCAACATTTTGTTTCCACTTGTGTTTTGTGTACAAGGTTCAGGTACCATTCTAAAAGCCATAATTTGATGTAATCAGAAGTGGGAGGGAAGTTTGCAAAAAGTTTGAAGGTAATATGATATCTTTTGCATTTGAACAATTATTACCATCACCTCCCCCTGTATTACAAGCTTGTATACAAAAGCTACGCATTCTAAATTATCATATGAGTGAATTCATCAGTTTAATATATACTCTTAAGTTAACATTATATTTATTTTACCATTTTCAGTAAGTTCCAGTGGGGGTAAGAGTACTGTGGGTTTAAAGAAAAGTAATGTAAAATTAGCATACTTTTTGTACACATCTTTCCCAGGAAGATTGCCACTCCTAAGGTTCAAGTAGAAAAAATGTGTGTAAAAGTTAAAGTATTGAGTTACATTTCTCAATGTAGCTAGAAAATTTATGCCAGTTGTGCCAGGGGAGCAGTTAAAAAAAAAATACACAGATGGCTTCACAAATGCTCAATCACCTTACCCTACCTTACCTCACCTATTTACCCAACTTCTTGTTTTTTTTAGTGAAATTTTTGTTTTCATTGTTTGTGCTATTTTTTATAAATACCTTTGTTATTGTCAATGTGAATAGGTATATACATTTTTATGAACATTTACAAAGTAAAGTATGCGGGTGAGATTAATTAGATCAATTTATTAGTACCCTGATGGCTTGAGTACTTGCAGAACCATGTGTGTGTAAATGAAACAAAGTAAAATCAGAGCCTACATAACCTTGAATCAACAGGTTAAATGTATATTTTATTCTTTGAAATATATTTTTTCTATGTTGATATCTTTGATTAGTATTAATATGCTTTAATAAAAAGATATTATTTGTTTTTATCAGTTTCATATTCTAGATAATGAATAACTTATGCATGGCCTATAGTTTTGGTTATTTCATATATACCCAACAAACTAATGCTATTTGTATCTGTGTAAGAGGCTATGGTTTGAATGTAAATATTGGATTTGTAATTACAGCTGTATATATCAGTGCATTTGTACATAACCTCAGTGCACTGGTGATTATGTATAGTAGTTGTCAACATAACTTTAACAACTGAATGGATGTGATTTGAGGTTTATGCATGCAAAAGAAATATTGGGGTTGGTTGTCTATTATAGTAAGCTATTTATTTCAGTGTAAAGAGACAGGAGAGTGCATGTTTAGTTCATTAAGAATTAAATGTTTTTGTTTGGAACATACTGCTATATAAACCTGGTTTGTTTTGGTATATTACAGGAAGACTATAAAGCGAGGGGAGTTTCTTAGTTTACAAGAGAAATGACAAATAACCTCAAAGAGTAAGTCTGTGTTCACTTTCATAATCCTTGCCAAGCCACTATAAAGGCTAGGGCAGTTGTTCTCAAACTTGGTGCTCTTGAACAACTTTTGAAATGTATTTTTGTTTTATATTTTCCTAAATTTGATTTGCCAATCTTTGTTGAGGATTTGTATTTTATAAAAGATTTAAAAGTCACATTTTGTAATTGGTCTCACCAAGAATATGCTAAGAAAAAGGGGTACCAAATATCATAGTTTGAGAACCACTGGGATAGGGTGTAACAATTTGCTCCTACTTTATCTACAGAATCTGCAAAAAAAGAATAGGCTGCACTCCTATGTACTAATATTAATTGTTGATATATTGGCTTCAAGAATACTAATAGCTACCCTTATTCATTTTGGGTAAGATGGTCAGTTCACCCTTTCTGTTTTTTAATATCCACTGCACATGTCTTAGTATTTTCACTGCCATTCATTTATATCCTGTTTTATTTTTCACTTGAAGTGTTTACTGTGATGCTGAAAGGTGTTCATGTTTGTCAGTTTAAGTTAACTCAAAATGTGCCTATTCAGTATCATTATTTACATATATTTATTAGTCTCTTGTTTGGGATGTAAGGATTGTTCTTGCTCTGGGAATAAAATATTATAGGATTAGATTATCTAATGAAATTTGTACAGGAGTACTATTACCTGGATGTTATTTTTTGCAGTATAAAAGTTCAACTATTAAAACTTTTGATGTCAGAAGCTTGCCTTTGCATTTGTAGTCTTCCTATGATAGACAGTTATAAAGGGTATATCAGTACACCCAAAGTGATGTGCATCCCATTCAGTTTAGTACATTCACATGTTGCCAACCCATTTCTTTTCTTGATAACAAATGTGCTGGTAAGAAATATGAAATTAGTTAAAGAATTTAAGTGTAGTAACTTAACTAAGATACCAATTTATGCTGTGCATGTATAAATTCATATGGAACAAGCCTTTCTAAGTATCACATGTCACCATAGAATATGAAAGCCACTGTACTTTTATTATATACTATTTGTGTTAAGAGGGGCATTCGGCCTATTCTTTTTAAGGAGTCTAGTTCCAAAGCATGCTTGTAGTGGTGCAGCTGTGACAGCAGATGTTAGGACAATATATATTGTATTTTATCATTATCCCTTATTGTTAGGAATGTTTATAGTGCCTTTTGTTAGGCAGTGAGAGATATAGAATTAAGATTTGTATGAGTATTATAGAGCATTTTTTTAGTTCACATTTAGCTGTTGATTTTCTCATTGTAATTTTGGTAAGATTAGAAAAATTGTTTTCAGATTGACTGTAATTTTTAATTTTATAGGCGGTGTACATGATCATAGCATCAAGTTCTATCCTCAACAGGATAAGTTTGGTGGAGTACCTCATAATTTAGCAATGATAACATATGTAATGCATACTGCTTATTACAGTCACTGGTAGACTGGTAGAGTTAGCTACTTAATTTATTGCAGTTGGGAAGCAGTATTTCCTCAATTATCCACCAAAATTTTTCAGTGGCTAAGAAAAAAATGTTGGTGCTCACCATATATAGGAAATGGCAGGCTGTTGATACTTTTAGTAGATCATTCATATTTTGCCATGTTTTCGGTTTTGTTACCTCGGATAGTCAAATGAGAGTGAATTAATGTGTACGGAACAGAGATATATGCTTAGGAACATAATAGGTGGGTTTTCTTTTGGGAAAAATCTGCTAAAAAGTAGTTTCAAGTCATGTAAGGGTTTATTAAAGAAATTAACAGTGTAGGTACAAGTTATATTTTGAATTGTTTAAGGGTATGTAGACTAGCTTTAGAAGTATGTCTTAGCAGCCAGGTAATGATACACATTCACTCTTTTAATTGCATTAAAGTTCAACTTGATTCTTTTTTCTTTGCAGAGTAACCATGGAGACTAGTGGTCCAGAAAATCCCCCAGAAGGACAGACTTCGGCCCCTCACAACAATTTCCGCGGCAGAGGATCTTTCAGGAGTCGTGGTGGTGGATTCCGTGGAAGAGGTGGCCCCGGCTTCTCAGCGTAAGTTCCCCTAATTGTTCGCTAGAGTGACATGTAGAAGAAATTTCAAAAGTTTGTCACTGAACATTAACGTGTATTACATGTATTAACCAATCTTTTAGGGCACGAGGTGGAGGATTCAGAGGAAGAGGCGCGCCTGGCTTTTCTCCGTATGTGGTTCCCAAACCTTCATGGTTCAGTAGGGTAGAAGAGTTTGTAAAGTTTCTTGTTAGTTCACCATGAATATCTGTGAGTAAGTCATTGCCATGTCAGACTTGTTTTGAGTGCCAAGAGTTTCATAGCTGCAGAATGATTGAGTGTGAATGGCTGAAGTGTCTTCTGTAGGATTTGGTATGTTTGAGTTGTGCATTGGATTATGGCTCAGTGTGAGACAGCTGTTTTTATTTGTTTACATTTTCATTTGTTTGGTTTTCCAAGAAATTGGTACCTTTGCTTTTATAGAAGGGAAAACCCTTTAGCTGTGAATGTACAGGCAGTGTGAATTGATTGAGCTTTTCAGTGGTTTAGAATCTAAGTTTTGGATAAGACTTGTTTGTACTGCAGTTAAATGGTAACTCATTGTGGAATGTGCCAGTATGACGAATACTATCAACTGTTTGAACAAAACTGCTATATGCTTATAGGAATCTCTGGTGAAGAAAATACATAATTTTTAAGATTTACTTATTTCTTTGATATTATTTTATTAAGGTTTTCATATATCCATTTTCAGGGGACCCATGCGTGCAAGATTCCGTGGGCGTGGAGGTTTCCGCGGAGGACGGTGAGTGTTCTTATCTGCTTTATTTTAGAAGGGTTGGACAATTTTAAGATAAGAGGAAATTAGTCGAAAGCATACAGACAAAAAACAAAAATAGATGTAATAAAACTGACCGAAATAAGTGGGTGGTTTAGGATGAATAGAGATAAAATTATATAGAATTTTAAGGAATTGAACAGGATTCTAAATGATGTAGGTTCTGTTGATGGGTAGTTGCTAGAAAAAGTTTAACAGAATGGCTATTGTATTATAGTTTAGTGTCATTATTTTCTTTTCTTCTTTATAATAGTTCTTTAAATCTGTGAAAATACCAAATCTGTTTCATTCTTTAAAAAAATATACATTAAGGCATTGAATATGAATACAAGGAAAGGCTAGGTCTATAATCTTAACCATGATACAATCAATATTGTGGTATTGATGGAGTAGCTTATTCGTCAGGTTTCCAGGTTAAGGAATGATCCTTTCACCTGTGAAAATTTGATTAACTATATTCTCCCATGCTGGTAAACGTGTCATACAGGAGTCAGATTCAAACAGCTCAGCACTGAACTGAAATAGGTTTATTTGGACTAGATTTGGTTTACTCCTGCCACTAGAAGTTTCAGAATAATGCTGTCCTAACGTAATCTATTCACTGTAGTTAGTGTACTACAAATGAGGATCTAAAGTAGTATAAAATTGCTGTAATTCTTAAGACTTTGTGTAGCTGATATCACTAATATAACAATATTCCTTAAACTGCTTAGTATTCATATTGAACTACATATGATTTTGTACAGTGTTTATATTTATCTGTTCCATTATTTTATGCACTTGAGTGCTAAAATCATAGTCTTTACAAGGTATAGGAAAGTTAAAAATCAACTTCCTTTTGAGTTTTGTCCTTGGTACAAAAAATAATGCATTCATTATTCACACAATGGTAGAATAGTTTTTTCTGCGACCAAGGCTACCACAGCAACGGATCAAGTTTTCAAATTTTTACAAATTCATTATTCCAATCTTTATAAACCACTTCATTATAGCTAAAAACAAAAGGACTTTGTGGTTCATAGTAAATCCAGAGGGTGTTGGTCTTAGATTCCAGAGGGAGGTGGCAAATCTCCCTGCACAAGCAACCCCAAACCTCAGACTGTCAACAAATATTTGGTACTATTTGGCGAGTTTCCTCTTCGCATACAAAAGCCATCCTCATACTCTTTCATTTTTGTAGACTTTCTCTTCGTAGAGCCAGTCATGACAGTCTGCTTAATTCTTTGTGAATGGGAAGTAGTGAGCTTGATGTGGTTTTTGGTATAGAATGTTTCATCCAGCCAAACCTTTCATTCCCTCCACACACCATACTACTAATTACACATCAGTCACAGTATGCTATTGTCCTCACTACATTTTTCAGATGTGATGAGTAATTATTTGTAATTTTAACCCAGTGCCGACGGGTAAAATTGTTTGGCAAATAGATGTAATAACGGGATTGTTGGCACCCATTGGCAGTTTCCCACGTTTGCACCTGCCTCAATCAGTAGTTTGCAAGCGACATTTGTCTCCTAAAAGCTTTTATTTTGCCATAGTTTATAAAAATATAATTTGAAGGTTTACCTTCATTATAGGTGCCATTGCCTAAAATTTTTATCATATAAATGAAGCCAGTACTATCGGAGAAAAAAACTGTCTGACAATCCAGTGGCGTGGGAATGGGCATGATATGATGCCATCCGTGTTTCAGTCCACAACAGCCATGGCATGTACGTACATGCCACCCGTTGGCTACGGGTTGATATGTGCATAGTGATAGTCTAACAAAATTTTATAATCATCATTGATCTTAGCTAATCACGAAGAAAATTTAATGGATACTGGTTCTAGCTCTTATGGACCCCTAGATCATTGGAGGGGGGGGGGGGGAAGGTTGCAAGGTAGAGGATTTATAGTTCTTAAGTAGATACCAGACAAATCCTGTATTTGCTGGACTGGCGTGATTTGTAGAAAATAGGTGAAATATATTGCAATATATAGGTGTCTGTTCATGCATAATGTTGATTTTATTTAAGCTTTAACTCGCTGAATGACAACATAGTATGTTAGTAAAATGGTCTCACTGACTTTCTATCATATCTTGTGGGGCTGAGTCCACTGTAAGTTGTGTGTGCTATAAAAATAGTTCATGTTTTTCCTTGCTTGTTGACATGGAGTAGGATACGACTTTTTTGTTGTCTAGTGATGGGGTAAATGAGTTACCTACATTGAGGATATTCCCATAAGTGTATCTCATTACAGTGCTGGGAAGTCTTATGAGGAGTTAGTCAAAAAGCAATTTGAAAGGGGGGGGGGGGTAATATTAATTAAGATTTGGGTGTGTGAAATTTTGCCCACACACAAGGATTACCTCTACATTGTTGTTTGGGTAAAAAGAGTAGTGTTTTTTTGCATTGTTGCAATTTTTTTTCCATATTTGGAAAGGTGATCAGCTGATATCTTGTTCTAATTATAACTTTGAGAAGACAAAAAAATAATAGTACAGGCATTATCTATTTTTGCAAAGCATAAATTAGCTACCCCATCAATATTACTGTTTGCCTTTACTTTCTAATTAACCCTTGCCTTGGTTTATGTTCCTGTCTAATACTTAGGCATTGTTGCTTTCTTCCCCCACCCCCCCCAAATCTCTCTCTCTCTCTCTCTCTCTCTCTCTCTCTCTCTCTCTCTCTCTCATCTCTCTCTCTCTCTCTCTCTCTCTCTCTCTCTCTCTCCCCCCCCTCCTCTCCTCTCCTCCTCTCCTCCTCTCTCCTCCTCTCTCACTCCTCCTCCTCCTCCTCCTCCTCCTCTCCTCTCCTCTCTCCTCTCTCTTCTCTCTCGCTCTCTCTCTCTCTCTTCTCTCTCTCTCTCTCTCTCTCTCTCTCTCTCTCGTCTCTCTCTCTCTCTCTCTCTCTCTCTCTCTCTCTCTCTCTCTCTCTCTGTCTCTCTCTCTCGCTCTCTGCTCTCTTTCTCTCTCTCTCTCTCTCTCTCTCTCTCTCTCTCTCTCCTCTCTCTCTTCTTCTCTCTCTCTCTCTATATATATTATATATATATATATATATATATATATATTATATATCTATTCTCTTCTCTGCTCTCTCCTCTCTCATTCTCTCTCTCTGCTCTCCTCCTCTCTCATTCTCTCTCTCTGCTCTCCTCCTCTCTCATTCTCTCTCTCTGCTCTCCCCTCTCTCTCATTCTCTCTCTCTGCTCTCCTCCTCTCTCATTCTCTCTCTCTGCTGCTCTCCTCTCTCATTCTCTCTCTCTGCTCTCCTCCTCTCTCATTCTCTCTCTCTGCCTCTCCTCCTCTCTCATTCTCTCTCTCTGCTCTCCTCCTCGCTCTCATTCTCTTCTCTCTCTCTCTCTGCTCTCCTCCTCTCTCATTCTCTCTCTCTGCTCTCCTCCTCTCTCATTCTGCTCTGCTCTCTCTCTCTCATTCTCTCTCTCTGCTCTCCTCCTCTCTCATTCTCTCTCTCTGCTGCTCCTCCTCTCTCTGCTCTCCTCCTCTCTCTCTCTCTCCTCTCTTCTCTGCTCTCTCTCTCCTTCTCCTGCTTCTCTC